ATTTAGCAGGGTTTTCTTGATCTTCTTTGAATAATTTGTTTTTCTAGAAATTGTAAGCCTTCCCAGAAGTACTCCAACTGCTTAGCCGATAAGTCTTACACGAATTCATTGCATGATACCCTTCTTTTTCGAAAAGCAACATCATCTTCGCCTTATCCACTTATCTGATCTCTGAAAGAAGAGACACTCAGAAGCACTCGTCACAAAGCCTGGGGGACGTCAGTGTTGGCTCAGTGCACGTGCGTCGCCCTCCTCGCTGCCCTTTCGTCTTCGTTCTCGATCAAGACCATACCCATAGTGATGTTCGTGTACCGTATCCGATGTAACAGCTCCATTTCCGTTTCGTGATTCGTTTCGATTTCCGTTCGAATACCGTATACCCACTGATTCCAATATTTTCAGATGAGCTGCGAACCGCAGTTCAGTGTCGAAAACATATCGTCATATGTTTTAGCTGTAATGGGGAATCGATGTCAGTCGGTAAGTGCTTTCGTCGAATTCTTTTCAGAAAAACATTTTCTGCGCTTTGCAGAGTTTTTTGATCCCAAAAAAGTAGTCCAGCAGGGGAAAACAAGTGATTGGCAGTGCAAGCGGCTATGAGCCATTGAAGTGAATGGGGCATAGGAAGCAGTTGGATGCTACTTGGAATTAGCCCAGACTAGTTTGCTAGTTACTGTACTGGAACTGAGAGAGAGGTGCTGAATGGCATCTGCAGATCCTTTCTTAGGGAACTTTCCCGAGACCCGCTTCTAACTTGGCCAAGATTTGTAAATGGAGCGAGGGAAAGGTCAAATGGATTGCTCACTAATCCGAAGTCATTTGAACGAACCTCATTGAAAACTACTCAACAATCTGGGATCGCTCTAGTTCCCTGATTGGATGAGAGCGATTTTTTTTAAAACGTTTTTGTCGGGGTACACGCTCTCCGCGTAACTGAAAAGTGCCGTCGGTCACCGTCGCGTGCCGTCGCGTAACGGTAGGCTCTTGCCAAAATTCCAACGTATCCTGAGTATGGAACTGGTTCTCTACCCTCTGAATCAGCAAATCCTCATCTCCTTAAGCCTCAATGTTCAGACACCCGGTCATACAGCTAAGCTCTTCCGCCTAAGGCTCTTAGAGCGCATGTCATTCTCAGAAAGGTTGATTCAAGAAGCGAATCGAGGGATGAGCCTTCTCCAATCCCTTCTTGTTCTGAGCTGCTCTCAGTATTTGATAAGTAATTGGTAACAAGAGATTTGTCAACAGAGTACAACATGAGTTAAACAGAAATGTAGTCAAAAGGGAAGGAATACGATGTGTAGCGACAAAACTTAAACGACAAAATTTGCCTGATGGCACAACACGATAATTTGAGGCATCTTTTTTGAATTGGAAAGCGGAAGTGCAGGTGAATAAAAGTGCATCGGTAGCGATGAATTTTGCCAAAAATAGCTGAATTAGTAGAAATGCCCTTACTAAAAATAGTGAAATAGGGGGTTATACCAGATCTCTGTGACGGAAATAACATGAAAGGGGTATTCGGACGAGATTTCGGTTGCTGCAGATGCGTAAAGAGCAACTATCTCGAGCCCAAGAGGTCTACAACTACCGTCCACCGTCGTTAGTGGCCACGACTAACTGTTGGGGTAAATATGGCTGTCCTCTCTGTAAATTGTGCATTCTCCACAACACCGTTATAACTCGTCCGCTTTTGGGAGTGGCTTCCAGCCGATATAACCTTTGAGCCCTTATAACTTCCTATCTATGCCGTTTTTTAATCTGATATATTTTCTTCTTATTCTCGTTGTCAATAATGTTATGTGGTTTTTTAGGAGGCAATCGTGGTTCCTACGGTGATAGCCTATTCACTGATATTTATAATTGGAACCGTGGGTAACATTTGTACCTGTGTAGTGATCACCAGGAACAGGTCAATGCATACCCATACAAACTTCTATCTGTTCAGTTTAGCGCTCTCCGACCTGGTGGTCCTTTTTCTGGGTAAGCTCGAATATTTCTAAGTTCTTTATGATCACAATGCCGAAGAACATATTCAGGTCTTCCCATGGAACTTTACGGGGTCATCGACTTTGCCTATCCGTATCAGTTCAGTGAATGGGTTTGCAAAGGACGAGCATACCTTATCGAATTCACCAGCTATGCTTCTATACTTGTCATCTGCTCATTTACTGTAGAAAGATGGCTAGCCATATGGTAAGTCCTCTATTTTGATGACTTTTTCGACCCACGTACGAATTACTCTAACAAAAAAGCTGCCTAGGAACTGTTCCTGTCGTCGCGGCGATTCTAGCTAGTTGTCGCGCCATGACCTAGTTGTACTGGTTAGTTGTCTCGCAGCCTAACTTGTCGTTCAGAACTTCTGCTTTTCTGCACCTAATCTATAAAATGCCACCAAATAAGCAAGATGGGAGACTGCCCGCTGCCCGCGCGTTTATAGTCGGCGCAGCCGTTTCGCTTTAGGATCAATGGCATTACTCGCTCATTCTTTCGCTGGTTTCCCCGACAATGTCAGTAATAATTAGGGCTTCGTCGACGCCTGGAAAAGTAAGAAATCGAATCATACCTGCCCATCAATGCTTCGGCCTTCTGTCCGGCACGATTGAGCTTTAAAGAAAGGGAATACCTTGCTGTCTGAGACCTTTAGTCCTAACTGTTTGCCCTCACAATTGCTTTACTAAGTTCAGTTCGGATTTCTATCCTCTCGCCAATCCACTAAGAGATTTCATGGGAAACGTTTTTTTTTTGGGAGAATTTTTCCAAATCATGAGAATCTTGTGAATAAGTGCCGATGAATCAGCATTCTTTAGCGAATTTTCTTCTGGAGACCCTTTTCCAGGAGAGGGTCATTGGGGAAATTCTGTTGCTGTCAAGGTATCAACTACCTTGTTGAGAAATCCGTATGGGAATTGATAATTCGAGAATCATCTCGAAAATTCACTCAACGATTCGTTTGCACTTGTTCTTAATGTCGTTTCCGTTAGAATCAACAACGTGGATTGCCCTTGCTAACCGAATCCCCCGCCTTCCTGCCTGATACTATATTTAACTACTTGATCGTTGAGATTTCCAAGGGATCCGTCTGTCCAAAATGCCCCAAGAGGACCTCAGTGCCACTACAATACCTGGTCCATATTTCTGAAAAACCTCTATCCTTGAACTATTTCTAATTTCAGTCATCCACTTCGATCTCAGTCATCGCCGAAAGTCTCCCGAGCTTATATGACAATCATGCTCATGTGGACGATCTCAGCCATTTCGGCTTTACCCATGGGATTCATCGTGAAGATCAATCGTCTGCCATTACCTGAATGGGCTCTGGATCAACCGTGGATAGGAACGGTAAGCACTTTACTTTTGTACTGGAAGCGCTTTCGTCGATTTCTCAGATGAAACAGCGAGGCCCATAGGGATAGAATGAGTAACTGTAGGATATCTGCTAGACAGACCCTTATGAGGGCTAATTCTGCCCCTGTAGGCGTCCCACTCAGCTGGCCTACAGGGGACTATTAGGCGAGCTATTCATTATTTATCGTTAAGGTATCGGAGGACTATATGACCGTGAAAGACACGCAGTTTTGCGCAATGGACGTCGATCAGCCTGAACAACAGAAACGTCTCATCTATTTTGCCTTTATTGCCTTTTTCATGGTACCAGGTAAGCCTCAACATGATTGCAGGTCCTGCACAGAATTTCAGATACCGTATTTCTAGCCTTTCTTAT